ATATAGTACATAGTAATGTAAAATTATTCCATAAATTTGTTTTGCATGAATACTATACACTTTCAAATACAAACAGAAACAGATATTAATTATATTACAGGTATGAATACTGTATGAAAAAATATATGAATTATGACAAATTATAAAATATATTTTTCAAAATACAAACAGAAACAAATTGTATGTATATTACTGGTATGAATAATGTATGAAAACTGTATGAATACTGTATGACATTTGTATGAATAGCAATATTATTCAATAAAAAAATATTTTATAACAATGTAATGCCTCAAAAACACAGATTTAACATTACGACATCATTGTTTTTGTACAGGATAATTTGAACAAGTCTTCATATTGTGTCCAACCTGATGGCATCTACTGCATGTGCTTTTTGTCTTCTTGAATTTCACATCTGCGAATCCTTTCCACCGTTCAAGTTTGGGTCTTTCTGCTGCTCTTTTTGGACCAGGCGGCATCAATTTAGGATCTGAAATATAACTTGGTATATCCCATGTACTCTCGCACGGGATAGGCTCGACAGGAATGGCATAAGCATCTTTGAAATTCTTGAGGCTATAAAAAGCAGAACAGAAATCTGCTTCATGTAACTTCCTGTACCGGAGAACAGCAATTGCATGACCACATGGTATCTCATAATGTTGAAATCTTCCGCAACTACACATCCTTGTGTTCAAATTTACTATGTATTTCTTTGCTCCTTCAGCTACAGCATGCAGATCAACAGTTGAAGGTATCACCTGTGTAAAAAAAATATATTTTCTACATGCTGAAGATTAGTATGAATTAAAAACACAATACAGTGAAAAACATACTTCATATTGCACGACAACGTAATACTTTTCTGTAGATAAACATCATATTTTTTTGTCAAATTAGATGTAGTCTTATCAGCCTCCTCATTATGCTTGTAAATCGACCTCTGAATTGACACCCTCATAAACTCAAGAAGTGAAATCACCGGTAACCTCCGTGCTAATCTGTTAACATTATTCAATGACTCCGCGATGTTTGAAGTCATGGTCTATGTGCACTTACAATTCGAGTAAGCTTTTGACCATTTGCTATAACCAATATCAAACAAGTATGGTCGTATTCGCGTATCTATCTGATCTATTCTTCCCATAATTGTCTCAAACTGTTGTTTTGTATAAGCTTTTGCCAATGAAAAGAACAACATCTTCAAATCTTTAGTATTTCTGTTGAAATTCTTCAAAACATTGACTGATAAATGTCATATGCATGCATAATGTTCTGATTCAGGATATACATTTGTTGTCCCTTTCCATATGCTTTCATTTCTGTCTAACATAAAACACATATTTTGTCTAACTCCATATGCTTCTCTAAATTGCTCAAAGAACCATGTCCATGAAGCATCATTTTCAGAATCTACTATCGCATACGCCAACGTAAGTATATGACCTGCTCATTAATTTTAAAAAAAAATATCACACAAATCAAAAATATAATTCATATATTTTTTCATTATATTATATAATTAGAAAATAATATAGGCTAATATTTTACCTCCCGGATCCAATGTGCTTGCAGTTAACATTGTACACCATATGAACATTTTAATGCAGCACCATCAACAACTACAATTGGCCTACAATATTCCCAGCCCCTAATACATGCTTCTAAAGCAACAAATGCATATAAGAATGTATCATCTTCATTTCTTTTTATTTTCAAAATAGATCCTGGATATGTTTGCTCCAAAATGTAAAAATAACCTGAAAATAACATAACAACCCAATTCATACATAAAAAATACATAGTTTATACATAAAAAATACACATAACTGTTACTGTATAAATTTATCATTATTTTCCAAATTATCTGAAAATAACAGCCCAATTC